CCCCCCTGTCATTCCTGAGGTCAAATGGGCTTCCTGTGGTAAAAATGCGACTGGGATTCCTTTGCCCACAAATTTTACCCCTGAGACCCCCCTTCAAAAAACCCTGGATCCGCCCTTGCAAAGTACAATCAATTGACCCAATTTGTCTTGGTTCAATCTCTACCCATTTTAGATCATGTGTCATTTCCTTCTTAATTGTATCCATATGCATGTGTCCTCTCATGGGGAAGCCGTTAGCAAAGCTATGGTACTCTAGGGCATGACACGTGATCTGAAATGAGAAAACTGTGGATTAGGTCTATAGCTGTTTGCTCCTTGAACGTTTTTGGAAATAGCTTTCTACACGAACAATATTCAGTCTCTCACTCAACTGTTAAATTACCTGCTGATGTTAAAAATCATTTCTTAGGTTAATGATGCTGAAGAAGTTGTAGATGAGGTGAGTAGCAAGTTCTAATTTCCATTATCTAGATATTATTATAAGCAATTATGAAAAATTTTGACTTCACTTTACTTATTACTTTAAACAAGATTTGTAGGAGCACTTGGATTTTACAATCACTTGGGCATTTATAGTTGGAAGGTTGAAATGTCCTTTATGGATTATCAATACAACTTGAGACATTAACAAGTATATAGGTTTGCTGCTATATCTCATCTCATTTATTTTCTATTTCTGTCTCTCCTGTTTTGCTTTAAATACACTTTCTGAGCCTAATATTATTTTAGATTCTACAGGGTATTTAAATTCAATATATACCAGTGTTAGGATACAGAGGTGTTTTTGGTTTAGGCCTCAGTCAATACCTCGTACCAAGATTATTTCTTAATAAAACCCTTGTATTGATTTCCTAGAGAAATTTTCCTGGGGGGAAAAAAAAATAGGCAGTCTTTTCTTGTGCAAAAAAGCATCCATTGTTTTGTTCCTCCAGAACAATTCCCCTCAGGATTCAGTGCAAGGGGTCTATCAATAGCGCAGCGTGCTGATTCTAAAAATAGCTTAAAGATTCGGACAAACATTGCATTCTGTTTAACCACTACGAGGATTATACGAACCGATTTTATTATTTTTACTGAAAGTTACGATAATAACCCATGTAAACTAAGATCAACTGCGATCGGCTGTGAAAATTATCTGCTGAAAGTAAACTTGTAAGTTTGTTTGTCCGAATTTTGCCTTTGTCTTCGTTTTTATGACGTCATGGCTGCGCTGCGCTATTAGCTTCTCCCTGGGAATAGATTATACACTGTCGTAACAAACCCTAGCCCCAGATACATTCATCCACATATCTGCACAAATGCTTAGCTTGCCATTGTAAGTTGATTGTGTTATTTATGGTCATTGCTTCTAGGTTGAGCACGCTACAAGCTGAAATACCAAGCCATTCCTAAGCTCACTCATTTAGAACAGGTTCCTATCCATTCTTTTGTTTTGTTGAATTTTAGTGCTTGGAATTTTTATTTGCTTAAATTTTAAATCTAAAGCAGAAGAAAAACCTCTAAAATCAAAAAATAATAAAATAACATTTTAAAAAAAAACCACAATTATTATTAACCAAAAGGATAAAACCTTTCATTTTAAGCTGCTAATTATTAATTTGCAATTTCCTATTTTCTCATCATTTTTTAACGTTTCTTATTTTTCTAATGTTCTCTTTTATAATTCTTACAATAATTTTTACCCTAATTTTAAAATTAATACTGAATGGCTGCACAAAATTGATCAAAAAATCTTCAAGGTTCTAAAACTGATTTTGAAAAGAGAAATTTTCCATTACAGTTTCATTCCAAATAATATCATGTCACTCGGATGTAGGATGTCAAACTTTAATCTTGCACTTAGAGCAAGAATAGATGTTATATCAAAATTACATGACTTACAGCTTGATGTATTTATCATGATATCTATTGCTAATTATGCAAGGTTTTTGGTATATTGCACCCTAAATAATATATGAGCATAATTTATACATAAACTATATAAACCGTTAAACTAAAATAACTAATAAAATGCACTCTTTTCACTTCCCAGCATAAACCTTCACGTAATGAAAGCCATATCACATTTTGTGAGTGCCATTATTTCTTCTTCTTTTCTTGTACTAAATTTTCATTATTCCAAAAAGTTGTGCCGCTAATTTTGTTAACAACGCAGCCTTAATTAGATTAATACACTGCTAATGAAATGGGTTTCACTAATACTCTGATTATAAAGCTTATATCTTGTACTCATTTATTATTCATGAGCTCATCGATCAACCAGGGTTTCTTATTTGTACCATGTGCAGTAGTTTGAAACCCCCATCAAATACAACTGCACCAATTTCAAAGTACTAGAACTTTGAAATAAAAACAAACCATAACAGAGTATAAGATGTCATGTCAAATACTCGTCAATGTATTCTATTGGGGTTTCAAAATATTCGTGGAATTGGCAAATTTGAAATTCCACTCCCATTTTGAAACCCCAATAGAATACAACAACTTGTATTTGAAACATCACTTCTAAATCAGCTCTCTTGTCTTGAATAAATAATCTAACTCATCATTTGACTACTAATCTTATATCCTTAATAGTCTCTTGGCATTTTAATGCTGAACATTTCAAGTGCCTTTGCATGAGTAATCCATATAACAACTCACTTCAAAAACTAATGACAGTCGTCCTGAAAATGAGAATATTAATGATGGGGTAACCCAGTTGGCCTACTTTATCTTATTTGTAGTGAATGTTTTTGTCTGTAGGCTGCACTTTTCAAAGGGTCAGGGGGATGACTTGGTAAAATTAAATTTTAATTTTAAGCATAAATCAAAAGCGACAAGTACTGCATCCTATCTTTTTTTCATTTATTTTTGAATCTTCGACACAAAACTCCTTGGCTGGTGATGTAGTAATTGACCATTCTTCTTTATCAAGATCTATTTCCTAATGCAGTTTGATTCATTGACAATGATAGCAACTTAAACTTAAATCTTTTTGTCTGATTATAACCAACTCTTAAATGACTTCTTATAGTCTTAAAACATCCATTGACTGTTGAGTTCTTTTAAACCTTAAATTAACACTGTAGAGACTTTTGCACCATCACGTGATGGCAGCCATGCCTCCTGATGTCATGGATCACGTGTTAGTGTGAAGTCTCTTAGTCTTTTTAACCTTTGGTCTAACCTATAGAGTACAAACACTAAAAGTGTGCAACACTTTGCACTATTTAGTAATAAACAGTAAGCAATTGAAAACAATAGGATTAGCAAAATTTAGCAGTATTTAGTGGTATTTATGTTGCACACCTATAGTGTTTGTACTCTACTATAAATGTGTTTTCTTAGGCTATCCTTTTAAGTTATGGATACATTTTATTTTCTTGCTTTTTGTATCTGTTTGCTATCCCATTGAACTAAGAAACACTCACTCAATACAAAGTTTTTAACTACTGTCATAAGGATATTCCTATTTTTGGGACATTTTCCATTTCAGTGCATGTGTTATTTCTTGAGTATTTCTTTGTTTACCAATAATGTTTGCAGATTATTTCATCCCAGAGTGATGACATAATCTGAATTGGTAAATCATGCCGCACTAAATTGGCCAAGAGGATAGGATTTTCCTTAATTATGATGCAAAAAAAGTAATGAAAGGTTTTCTGCTACTCTGTCTCTCAGCCATAAACGACACCATAGCAACAGATACAAGGGCAATCGTTCCTTGAATATCAAATCCAATATTTTTTGCTTCTGTTATAGATGGATGRACTTGAATGTGAGAAGAGAAGATCCAAGGGGAAAGGGTTTACATGTCCTGGAAAACTTAACACTAGACGTTCAGCTGAGATGCAAGCAGCCAAAAACCTTGACGATGCATAAAATAACCATTAATGATAGCTGAAGATTTCAGATTCTACTACTTCTTTATTCAGGGGGGGAGGGTAGGTAGAGTATTGGTTAGCCTAGAGAATGTTGATGAAACTGGACTGATGATTACAAATGTAGCCAACAGTCCATTTTCTTGGACTTTTCCTCACCAACTAGGGTGGGGTAGGGGAAGCTAATATTCACTTACTCTCTTGACGAGGCGCCTAAGAAGCCATAGGAACTGAAATTAATATTTTGCAGGCAATAGACAGAATARTATTATCATACTAAGATAGCAGCATGTTTACCTTAACTTATAGCCAGCGTACCTTCGTGTGAGCAGACTCGTATTTTAGCAATGTGCAGAGTTGAATGAGCTGATTGCATGATTATTAATATTAGTTTGTTATTAGTAGTCGTTTGATTTCCAAGGTATTTGTTTTGCGTTTGTGCACTCAGTCCTACTTTCTGTTGTGCAAGGAGTTTTTTAAATTACATTTTGTGCAGCCTATTGGCTGTATTAGTTATTTTTAATCGATTTAATAATGGAATGTTGATTTTAGCATTAATAGGGGGTGACGAAGGCCTATAGGAAGCATTTTATAGAAATACTTCATGCATCGTACATAAGTTACAGCTCACGTTGTCATGGCAATCCAGAGCTTACGACTACTACCTTAACACAAACACGGCATACTTCAACAAAAATTAATTCATGTCTTCAAATTTCCCATATACACTTTCTAAAATGCCTTGTTTTGGACCATTTTAGCATCAACCATAGCTAACCTTAATTCACGATCATTCATATTGCACCTATCAGGAACTGTCGGCCCTCTAGTAAGTTTTCCTTTTTATCTTTGATAGTTTATATTATGCTTTTGTTTTAAAATGTAGGGTAGTTAATTTTCTTAAACATCCAAGTTTAAGCCCTTTTAGAATTCTTTTTATGAATGTATGTAAGAATAAAAGTCTCATTACTAGTTTATTCAATGTGTTATTTCATGGTCATCGCCTGGGAGCATCACTTTGATAGAGCACACAAAATTTTGCACTATTTAGCACTAATTAAACAATGGAAATAGAATGAGTGCTATTTAGGTTGTATACTGGCTGTGTACAGTGATCACAAACGGCATTTCTGCTATCCTTGCATGAACAATATATAGAATCTCTTGAGTATTTTGACTTTTGAAAAACAAAATTTTAGGATAGGGAATAACAAAAATTTGTAATGGGATTTTAAAAGTTCAGAAAGAATAATTGATACATTTTTTCCCCTGAAAGGTTTGAGTTCATAAAGAAAAACAATTTTTAATGAGAATACACTTTTATTTTTCATCCCAATTTCATCCCCAGAACTTTAAAACCAGTGCACTGAATGACACAAGACTAATAATCTTTAGTAGATCCTAATTCCATTGTTTTCTTTTGTGTCTATATACCTGAGAGAATTTGTTCTGGGGGACATAACAATAAGCCGTCTTCATGCAAAAAAAAAAAAATCCATTGTTTTTTCCCTCGCAACAGTTCTTCTAGGAAATAATAAATGTAAGGGATTGACTATTTCTCCTTGACTAATATTTTTTACTTCACCGGTTAACTGCCTTCACTCTATTAGGACGTTTGCACGATGGCGTCATTGACCTCTACATACTACCAGACTTCCTTGCACACTTTCTTTTGCCTCAGTTAATTAGTACCAATTGTCTTACTATTCTCATGAGGAAATACAAATTTAAACAAGAAAGAAAATTCGCGAAGCATCTTGGTAGTGGGAGTCAAATGACGCCATAATGCAAACGTCCTATTGTATTTTGAACTACTCATTACTTAGATGGAGCGGTCAAATTTCATGCAAGTTACATTTGGGACCAAGTGATGTACACCTCTAGCTAGTTCATAATGTTTTCCCATTTCAGAGCACGTCATTCCCTTGAGAATAAGATTCTTTGAGCTGTGTACATATGGATTCATGTGCCTTGACTTAACAAAGAAATGATACTCTAGGGAGTTTACTACTGTAGTCCGAAATGGAAAAACATTTCACCTTCATTTTTTCTCTTTATTCATGCAGGCAAAATTTAAGGGGGGTGGGGGTCCTGTTTCGAGATTGGGAATCAGTCCTTACTCTAAGTAATGAACGATGACCAGTCATTAATGTAGGGTTTCGCAGCACCCATGTTAGCTGTATATGGCAAAACTATTGGAGTGAAGTCATTTAACCCATGAAATAGATATTGGACTAACACACTTTAGTAAACCCTAATTTCATTGTTTTCTTTTGTGTCTACAGTCGAACCTCTATCAAGCGGTAACCCCTGGGGAAACATCAGTCGACCGCTTAATAGAGGTCAAGTTTACAGTAAATAAAGTAAGAAAAGCGAATTTCGGGAAATTATTAAGCGACCGCTTAAGGGTGTGACCGCTAAATAGAGGGCCGCTTAATAGAGGTTTGACTGTATTCGACTATTACACGTTGACTAGATTTTTATTTCACGGCCCTAATGCCTTTACTTTAACATGGCTTTTGTAACAATCCTCTTCACCCCTCTTCAGAATACCCCATACTTAAATATAAGAGTAAAATCTTTTCTCAGTCAAAACAATTTCGTACCAGGTCTCGGACCCAACTTTTTTGGCTTTTTGGAGAGCATCACGAGATGGGAACGAGATTGATGACAAAGCCTAGTAGAGTTAGTACAAAAATAACAATTTCCCAAAACGTGGTTTAAACCACATATTAAATATATAGATTTTCACTCATTTAAATTAATGTCTTACATGCGTTGACTTTTACCTATGATGTACGCTATATTTTCACGACTGAAACTTAAGTAAAACTGTCTATGAATGACTATCAAATCCTCGTATACCGCTATTTCAAAAACTTAGAGCCTTGTTCACAGGCTACAAAAACTAGAATGGTGGAAAAAAGTCTAATATGTTACTTAGTAAATCGATCAGAATTCATCAGTAAATTTGAAATCGTAAAAACTGTCGGGCAAACAAGACGAACACGTCAAATTGAGATCTATTAAGCAGAGGAGAATCGCTAAAAAGCAGATACTTTAAATCGATTAGAATTCGTTTTAGTTGAGAAATTGTCAAAAACTCAAAACTGCCGAGCATTTATCAGTGTAGCAACTCGTTTCTTATTTGGTTTATGTACCATAGACAAAGGTCAGTGACGGTTTGATTTTGTCTGATCAGTTGCCCAGTGATGAACGACTAATATTTATGGCCAAATGATACTGAGGGCGAAGATTAGAATATGTATTGACATTGTAAATGTCTTTGGATATGGTATTTATAAATCAAAGCCGGGCCATTGAAATACTTAAAATGGATCAGGGCTTGTTACTGGCATCTCATGCAGTATCATCATATATTGTTGTAAATCATCGTCCTGCAGCATCAGCATGAACGACTAGGATAGAAGATACGCAAGACAGTGTCCCAACATATTTTTCGCGGTACAATTTCTTTACCTTCTGATGTTCAACGTTTTGTTATGGTTTCTACCATACATCGTGCGTGATCTTGCAAATCTTTTCGCAATTTCATGTGTAGAGTTTATGTTACAGTTTGTTAAGGATTAAACGTGTCGTACAATTGTACGATTTCTTTACCTTCTGATGTTCAAGGTTTTTTCATGGTTTCTACCATCCATAGTGCATTATCTTGCAAACCCTTTCGCAATTTCATGTGTAGAGTTTATGGTACAGTTTGTTAAGCATTAAATATGCCACAAGTTCTAAAGATGTTGCCAGTGATGTTGCAAAATGCTTCTGACGTATTACAAATGAAATAGATTGTGGATCCCCTAACTTGCAGCTCAATTTGGAGAACATAACAAAAGGTGTGCAATTCTTATGAGATTGAAATCCTTTTGTTTTTTCATCCAAATTGAGCTGCTTCGACATCACATAGTATAGGGTCTATACTACGATAAGCTGAAATCTTTCTAATGAATGTTTCTGCCACTTAGAACCCTTCAAAAGTGGTAGAACTGATTGTAAAGTTTGTAAAGACCAAATGTCCCGGGTTTTAGACTCTGGATAAAGTTCGGCAAGACTTTCATGCAAAGCATTCGCTACTAGAGTCTTTGTGAATATTAAGAACAGGTTACAAAAAGTTTTCCTTTTCAAGATCAGAAAATCATTGCTGCACCAGAACATCCGGGAATAAATACTCCTTTCCAAGTCGCCTAGCAACATCCAAAGGAGTTTCTCCACGGCTGTCTTTAATATTGACATTAGCTCCGTGAGACAGGAGACTTGTGACAATATCAACATCTGTGCTCCATTCCACGGCTTTATGCAATGATGTCGACAACCAGTTATCGGTGTCATTCACAATAGCTCCTTTCTCTATGAGACACTCAATCATATCGAGACTCCCTGCCAGCACTGCTAGGATGAGTGGACTGACTCCGCCTAGCATGGCCTTGAGGTTAACATCGCAGCCGTATTTGATAAGTAGGAGAGCAACATTTTTATGGCCACTCCGGACTCCAGCATGAAGAGGGCTTTCTCCTGTGATGTTCTTTGTTCTCTCAGCGTCAAAACCTTGATCGATCAAAAACTCCACAACATCGGGGTAGCCATTTGCTGCAGCGTGGAAGATGGGCGTGGACCCTGTGGAATAGTCTCTGCTCTCTGGATCGCTCCTGTATTGCACAAGCAATTCTGCAATATCTCTATCGCCTGCAAAATGGAGAGGTGTTCTACCATGTTTGTCTCTTAGGTTGGTTTGGCTTCCTTCGTTTAACAGAAATCGCACCATCTCAAGATTGCCTGGCTTTTCAGAAGCATTAAACAGTGGTGTCTGGTGCTCAGTCTTGTTCGTTGCATTGATGCTACTGCCTTTGTCGATAAGAAGTCTTGCGACACCAAGGTGGCCTTGTTTGGCGACAAAGTGCATGGCGGTACACCCAGCAAGGTTAGAGTCGTTAACACGGCTTCCCTTGACGATGAGATACTCCACGACCTGAAGATGCCCTTTCTCTGCAGCCAGGATTAATGCTGTGTCTTGATTTACAGTCTTGGCAAAAATATCCGCACCCCAATCCACTAAAGTCCTGACTGCATTCAGACGTCCATTTCTAGCAGCAACATGAAGTGGTGTTCGACCCCATGTTGTCTCTTCATTAACATTCGCCCCTCTTTCCAACAGAAATAGCAGTGTATCTATATTCCCAGTTGATGCAGCATGGTGTAGAGCGGTGTTGCCATGGTGGTTTCTGGCATGGATGTCGCCTCCCTCCTGTAAGAGATACTCTAACACTTTCCTCGTGTTAGAAGCAGCAGCATGCATCAGTACGGTCGTTCCAGCATTCTCTTTATGAGTAGAAGCTTGGTTTATGTCATATCCTAGAAACTGTAGCTTTTTAAAGTGCCTGATTCTCCCAGTTCTTGCAACTTGGTAGTGCATTGGTTCGGATTTGATAGTCAGCTTCTCATAAACTTCGATGATCATTCTGATCCCTTCACAAACATTCCCTTTATTAACTTCTTGCACAACTTGTGTTGGAATAAGGCCAGCGTATCTAGAAGTATTGGCCATCACAGGGATTGACAGTGCTATTAAAGTATCAACCTTACTTGGGCTAGCAAGAATAATGGACTGAATTACAGCTGCGTTGTCATGGATACAAGCCTTGTGAAGAAGGCTTAAGCCGGTGGTTGTATTTGGTGTGATGACTGTTTCAAATGCAAGAGCTCGCAAGGTAATCTGCAAAAAATGATGAAAAATGTCAAAACATGCACATTTATCTATTGGTAGGAATTGGGCGCTTAAATTTTATCTGAGGAAGAAGGAGATCGGAGACTGGGATCGTAGCTTGCTATGCAGACTGTCTTAGGGTACGTCGTCACGCAACCTTTCTGTCTACGTACCAGGTTACCGTGGCTAGGATAAACGTTTCTATAAACAATTACTTTCTTTCCTTCGAATAATAATTAATTTCATAATTAATATTATCTTATAAAATGGGACCTTTAGAATTCTTCAGCCATATAATTATATATCTCTCGCTTACTAGCGATCTCCTAGCCCCCTACGCAGATCGTTCTTATTGTCTGTCACGCAAAGTTTATAAAGGTTTGTGGGTTTGCTTGAGGAAAATCATGCTTGCTTTAAGATAGGAGTTTTACGAGGGAATTAACTCCTACCGCGTCCAAAAATGATTCACATTCTTAGCAGCCAAGTTATTTTGCATAGATAACTGTCATTTTCGAAAGCGGTTTTTGTAATTCCTAATCTTACCCGACGAGAACTATTAATTATTGATAAGCGATGCGGCTCGAACCTTGATTAAAGAAAGCTAGCTGATCATGAATATATATATTTTCGAAAATATTTCATACGAATTATTAGCAAGGCAAAACTATGCGCTGGGATTCAAAAATCAGTTTTCTCGAATTCTAGCTTATAAAACTCGTTCGGGATATTGCTATATTCATAATGAATTTATTTTTTTACCGTTGTTAGTAACAAAAAATGTTCACTCTAGCAAAAGGCATGTAAGTATAATACTCATTTCGACCTTGCTATGCAAACAACAGGAATATGTGTATATGCATTCATGAATAAAATAAAGTCGAAGATAGCTTCTTACTTCTTCGTCCATTGCCCTCGGAGCAGAACTCGTTGAATTAGTACTAAAGCAGTTACTGTCTCCCAATCAGTGCTTTTTCTGGCATTTATCTAGACTCTACCAAGAGAAAGGACCAAGGGGACTAGGACACCGAACGTGGTTGGATTTCTTYTTTTTTTTTTCCTTTCGAAAATTTGTGTGTTTGCGCCTTATCTTGTGTCCGTGTTCCTTCGCTGTCGCAATGCAGACACGTTTTCAAGTTCCAAAGGTCAAATGGTTTGAACAGCCGATTTATGACGCGAAATACCAAGTCAAATTACATGTCTAAATACGTGTATCAAATACAAGAAAGCTATTGTTTTCAACAATAAGAACTTGACACTTTCTGTGACATTGACTGCGCATGCACAAGAATATGGCCAGGATGCTTCGACGTCAGATTTCTACGTAATACTATGTAGCCTCCTTTGCAGCCGTTCTTAGGGTCGTCTAGGGAAACGTTGCGTGACGGCCCTAAGAACGGCTGCAAAGGAGGCTAAATACTATGCTGAATGTTAGAGAATAGAAGTAAGTAAGAAATACTTACTGGTGAGGAAAAAATCCTTAAAACGGGCTAAATTCAAAAAATAACCACGCAGAGCGAAAGAAGTGCTATTTTTCAATGATCGGGTAAAATTTCGAGGCTTTATTTCACGTTTCAATGGTTTTATTGAAATTTTTGATGAATCCTCATACATTTCCTTATAACATGACACCACAAAAACCAAGCTTGGGCTACCTGTGGAYTCATAGCTTAAGAATCCACGCCATTATATGTATGATACTTGTATGATACTTGTATAATACATGCAATTACGAAATGTTGTAAAAAATCCTTTATTGTAGTTTATGATACAAAAGGGGGACGTTTCTTTGAGCAAAAGTTGTCGCATGAGAGTGGGGATTTTAGTGTGTATGTAATAGTGTGCTGTTGTTGATCTATAGTCACGTCTTACGGTTCGAATTACTAGCGTTCGGGTCCGAGTGAGGGCCGAGGGAGGTCGTGTTACTCCCTGTGTAGGCTCGGCAGTGGTTCGTACACTAGCGTTGGTGCTGCATTTGTCATCGCTGTGTAAACACACTGCCACCCCACCTTTCAAAATATTTGGATTAAGCGAGCAGACGAGAGAACAATGGCAAGCGCGCTAGTAGCCTACATATTTTACTCTAGGACCACGGTTGAATATCACTGACGTAAGGAGCATCGCGCGGTCGCGTTGTTGTTGGTACAAACAGAGTCAAGTACGGAACGGCCCTTAAAGAATTAGCCCAAATCGGCTATTCAAATTGTTAGACCTTTGGAAGAAAACGTCTGTATTGCGACAGCAAAGGAACACGGACACTAAATAGGTAAACAAGTATAACGTTAATTTAATTCAAATAATCGAAAATAWAAAAAAACTATAAAAATCCAACCACGTTCGGTGTCCTAGTGCCCTTGGAAAGGCCGGGTGTTTTCATGAGGAAGTCAATCTCGTACTCAGTGCCCTTAATTCTTACTGCGCATGCTCTGGGGAAAGCATAAGTAGGGTCACGCATGCGCAGAAATCAACTTAAGTGGGAAAAAACATGTCTATTTTTGGTTACGGATGATAGATTATTTCTAATTTTTCGGGAACATTTTCTGATCAGTTTTGGAGCTGAGCTAAATGTTCTTTTTTGCGGATTCTTTAATGGAAGATTTCAAGTATTAGGAAAAATTGCCTTAATGAAGAGGATTTGAATTCAGATTTTCTTTCCGCTTTTTTATTTTATTTATTTTTTCGTTCATATAAGGTGCGAATACAAAATATCATTAAAAGCGGAGGAAAATCGAAAAGAGAAACCTTCAGCAGAAATAACAATAAGGCGAAAACTCGGCTAATTTCCTGATCGCTGTACGTGCATAAATTCTATAGAATCTTAAATGAATGAATGAATGAATGAATAGTCGCGTGGGACTGATGGGAATTGCAATAATTAATTTTATATTCTTGGCCAATCTGATGGCCAAAACCTGCAGGGAAATGAAAGGAAACTTAAATCCTGTCCCATATTGAAAAAAGCTATAACTTCCTTCACTCATCATAATAATGTTTTTGAGTATTGATGGTTTTGATTGTCTTATAAGATTAAATACAATAGAGATTTTCTGTATCCTCTGTTTTTCACGAGGAATCACAGAGGCTCTGTTTTTTATAAAGCCAAGCATGAAAATATGTAGTTTCATTATCGCCACCAATAATCTAACAATAGCACTCATTAAGTCAAAAAACATATATTTGGAAAAACTTCTCATTAAGAAATTTAATTGCATTGGAATATATATTTGCTCCATTCTTGTCATGAACACCAGTCCAAATCAATATGTATTACAGACATGACCGGGACTGAAGTTTGCATCATTTCCTAGCATCTCATTTTACCTCTGGCAAGCCTTGCATCAAAGGAAATTATTTTCTTATTCATATTCTAGAACTTGGAAATTTTAATTTCCTAATTCTTTTTCATTCATTCGGAAGAGATTTGAGCCTGTCGACTGTCGTCTCAAGAAAAACAAGATGATTAAACTCGTCTTTCTTGCAATGCCTTGCGTTCTTGTGAATCAGGGGCGTATCGAGGAAGAGGTTGTTGGCAGTTGCAGCCTCCAAATTATATTGTTTATAGCATTGCGGATTTTGTGTGCAAACAAACTAAAAGCTTAAACGTCCGTCAAAAAACAGACATAAAAGCACACTAATTTACGTCACTGACATAAAGGCACACTGATATACAGGCACACTGACATACAGGTACACTGATATACAGGCACACTGACATACAGGCACACTGACATACAGG